GATGTTCATTTCTTCATTATTTTATTCCCCAAATGTGTAAATTACTCTGAAGTTAAGAGATAAATATACATGTTTTGTTTTGATTTTATCTCTAAACAAAGGATAAAGTTCAGAGAAATAGGACAGAGGCATGGAAAACAGGTTCCTTGTGGTCAAGGGACTTTTCTAAGGTTTTTCTGCTATTATATTAAGCTATTGGGGCAGTATGAATCTAGGTTCTTAGACTTTAATTCTAACGTGCTTTTCTCTAAGCCATGCTGCCTGTCTACATGCAAGGATTTGAACTTGAGAAAACTAAAACTAAAAACCAGGCTGAAGCAGAGGTTTAGAAAAAGCTCTATGATATGGCCAAACATAAGATAATGAAATCACCAAACAAAGCATATCTGATATCCTCAGTGGTACTGACATTGTCACAATCAAACCCCAATGCAAAAAACAATGTTGTCACTGCTCTTAATTGAGAATCTGCTGTTATTCAATCTGGAAACACCCTGCAAACCAAGATGCTTTCCAATTCTTACAAAATTGGAAAACCTTAAAGTAGAAGAAAATACACATAACTGGGGTCCATTCCTGGCAATTCTGATTCAATTAGTCTGGGCTGAGGCCTAGAAACAGGTATTTTTACAAAGATTCCTAAGCGACTCCAGTGTGCAGACAGATTTTAGAGCTCCTGCTCTGAAGGGAATTAAACCCTTTCCAAATCTTTACAAAAGGCTAATTATGAGGACAGAATCCACTATCAGTAGCTTCAGTGAGGCCTTGTGTGACCATAGAAACAGATGTTCTAGGAACACAACATGAAATCTTAACTCTACCATCTAGCCAAGAATTTTACTCCCCACCCTCCTCTATTTAGAAGAAAAACAAATGGAGGGGACATCTCAAGACATTCAAAAAAATATGCTAACATTGCATAAAGAAAGTCCTTTGAATGCAAGGTCACTCATGTTTGCTTCTATGCCACATCTCTGCAGAGGCACTGTCACTCAGGGCATTTGGCAGAGAGGCCGGTATGATTCCTATGCACTGTTCTAGGAGCCCAAACAAGTTTCCCAGAGCACAAAAGAAGAAAGCTAACAACACAGTGCCCAATATGGCCAAGCATCAAGTTAAAGGCTTTGCATACCTAGCCGCATTTAATCCTCTGGAGCAAATTTATTAAGTAGTCACTAAATATTCTTATTTTCACATGAGGAATTGGGCTTACAGAGTTAAAGTAACAGGTATGTTTGCAAGGTCAATAGAAAAAAATACAACCCAACCTCTCATGAACCTACCTTTTATTCCTAACCTTAGGGGATTCACAAGGAGTTTCGAATCACAAAAGCCAAGGTCCTAATCTTAGCTCTGTTCCTCATGGCTTGTGTGATCTTGGTAAGTTCTATAATGACAACTACTATTTATGGATCACTCAGCCATATACTGTGCCAAGGACTTTACATTAACTACCTTGCTTAGTCATCATGACATGCCTATGAGAGAGATATTATTATTCCCATTTTATAGATTAAATTAAATGATTTGTTCAAAACCATGTAGCTAGCATTCAAACCTATGCCTATAAACCAAGGTGTTACAATTATTACACCTGGGCTCTTAATTGTTCT